ACGTGGTACAGTGCCTGCCTGGTGGTAGAATGCCTGTGTGTGTTGTAATGTTTTAAGTTCCTTTTCTCACGTGTTCCTGGAAATAGAATGAAGAATCCATCCATCGTTGGAGTCCTGTGCACAGACTCACAAGGACTTAACCTGGGCTGTAAGTACCTCCCGCAGCCCTTTGGTGGTTGCACAGCATTGAGGTTGGCTGGGAGTCCGTGTGCGGTTACCCTGCCTTTCCAGCCGCTTCTGTAAACAGTTCTCTCCCGATAAGGAGATTAGAAGATTGAACTTTTCACTGGGTACTTGTGAAGGTAGAAACATTCCTGCACTACAGTCGTTTCTGCTGAAATAGTATTTGACCCAATTTAAAAAGTGGGTTGAGGAAAGCCTTCAGGTAACATTGAATGTGTGCCGTCTGCTTGGACTGCGAGGCTTCGGATACTGATCATCTCGTTCTCACATTATTCCTGCAAGATGCTATGTTTTAGTCTACACTTAACAGTGAGGCGGCAGTAAAAATGAGGCGGCAGGGTTGGACCAAAAAGAACCTTTCTGAGCCTGTTTCTTTACTGGGTTGTTGGATAATTATTATCATCAAATTACGTTTTTTGAGCTTTTACTGTGTGCCAGGCACCGTTCTAAGTATTCTACATATCCTAACTAATTTAATCCTCAGAACACGAGGTAGATAAATTAAGTGGTTGCCCTGGCCCGTGTGGCTCAGTTGGTGGGAGCATTGCCCTGTGCACTGAAAGTTGGGGGTTTGATCCCCAGTTGGAGCGCTCATGGGAGGCAACCAATCAGTGTTTCTCTCTCACATGGATGTTTCTCTTCCTCTCCCTCCAAAATCAATAAAAGCAGATCCTTGGGTGAGGATTAAAGAATTAAGGGGTCTAGCTGGGATCTGAGTCTGTCTTCAGAGTCTCAATCACAATACTGTAAGATTATATGTGTAAAGCACAACACATAACCCAGACATAATGCTCAGTAAATGATGATAATTATAGATGAAGAAATAACTAAGGGGGTGGGGACACTTGCCAGCTCACTAATGGAAATTCAAGGAAATAGAAAACTAAATTAGTTCCTTAAACAAGCCTTCAAGGCCCAAAAGACTGCACTGTCTGTGCAGTTAATGTTCTGTATAATAGTCAACCCAACAAATCTGCTACAGTAGCATGTCTGTTACCCGATTTAGCATTGCCCTTATGTATGCAAATATATTGTAAATTAGTAATTACTTTTTGTGCCTTCCACCCAAGGTTTAGTTATTATCTATCTACAGGCCAAAACAAAAGTCAGTTCTGTTGGTATTGGAAAACAGCCAGCTTATTCTAACGGGGTGAATTGCTCACAGAATGTCCACCTATGCTGTCAAGGTGGACTTACAACTGAGCTCCCGAGAAAACTTTCATACCCTTTGAGGTGGAGCTCAGTAAAGGAAATCAATTTCCTATGAGGAATAAGTTCCAACACGTCTCGTCTGTACTGCTGTTTGTCGATCTCGCCTCCGAACTTCTTGTTGATTTCAGCAAGGTTCCTGTGAAATGGATTTCAGAGCGACTTGAAATTATAGCTTCCTTATATGTTTGAGATGGTGTTTAAAGATGGTGATGGGAATGACTTTGAAAATTGAGTGTCTGTTATGGCTTTATTGATTGAGGAACTAGCATGTGGCTTTCTCACTGAGGCAACCAGCCGAGTACAGCAGAGCAAAATCATTTCATGTCAGTAACCTAAGAGCCCATGAACTGAACTCTCATGAATAATTCATGAGGTACTACTACAGCTCTAAGCTCATTTTTAAGAGTCGGGCAACATGCTATCATCTGTGTCTTCCAGGCCGTGGGACCCTGTCGGATGAGCACGCCGGGGTGATATCTGTTCTAGCCCAGCAAGCGGCTAAGCTAACCTCAGACCCCACTGATACTCCTGTGGTGTGTCTAGAGTCAGATAACGGGTGAGTCAAAAGCAGCAGGTCCCTTCCTTCCCTTTTTATTTAGGAAGATTTTTAGAATGACTGGGGCCTGCCCTGTGCTCCTTGGTGGTTCTTCATTCAAAGGGCAAAGTAAAAATAGGAAGACCAATCAAAGAACAGAAACTGCTTCTGTAAAAATGGAAGTACTAACGATCTTCCGAGTGAGTGCCCTCAGAACAATGGACACGAACAGAAGACAAACTACGCGATATCATCACCGCTCGTAAAGAGAAAATGTGTGACAGGACACCTGCAGATAAAATCAGGGAAACAGTACAGTGGTTGTCTGAGTGCTAGGGAGATCAGTGTCATTTCATTTTTATAGCTAATACTTTTCTGTATTTCCCAGATGTTTTGCTGTGTTCATATATTGCTTATATATACGTAGAAAAAATGGCATTTTCATTGTGTCCTAAACCATTAACGTCACACTGCCTCCCACGGGGAACGTTTCACTGAGGTCTTCCGCTTTGCCTTCCAGGAACATTATGATCCAGAAACACGACAGCATCACAGTGGCCGTGCACAAGATGGCCTCCTGATGGCGCCCAGGTTCTCGGGCAGCGCGTCTGCTCCTTGCCTTACTTACACTGTTAGTTTCAGTGGTTAGGCCTGTCATCCAGTGAGCTTGGGGCACTTTTGTATTAATTTAGGCTAAGTTGCTTTTGGACACTCTATGGACTGACTTACCAAAGTATTAGTAAGAAAGGATCTTGTTTTGCAGCAGTAGGTCTGGGTGACTTTGTATATAGAATCCTGTTGTGTTCAATAAATCTGGTTGGAGGAAAGCTTGGATCTTTTCTGGATTCTTTAAACTTATCAGTCTGAACACGCCCAACCTTGCCCTAACTCTTATCAGTGTTCATTTTTTCAATTACCAAACTGAAAATTGTTCCAGAGGTCTTTGTTCCAAATTATTCTCTTCTCTTTCAGAAGCTTCCTCAAATACATATATCCTCCTCACAGAAGTATCCGTGGGTATTAAATCAAGCATATCCCTACCCCATAATAAAAATATAACGGCTAATATCATTAAGCACTTACTAAATGCCAGGAATTCATTTAATTCTCATTCATTGGAAAGTAGGGATATTCGTGTCTAGTCTTTACCACATACTCAGTGGAGTGAGGGTAATAGTGACTTAGGAGATATCGAGCTGCAATTCTTGTTGAATAGCTTTCAGGCCAAGAGTCAGAAGGTTGGAGGTTAAGGAACTTATTTATGTTTAGACTATAGAAGTTTTATTAAGTCAACTGGGTACAGATGCCAAAATGCTAATATCCCAATGGTGGCTACGGAGTCTGTTCTTGATATTAGGCCCCAACTGATTAATAAGAACCATTTTTAGTGAACTAAGTATCAATAGTGGGTCTAATAATGTGCAGTCATATAAATATTCCTCACAACAAACTTGTAAAATAACATTTTACGGAAACATATTCAGAGAGGATAACTGGCCCAGAGTCTGCAGGCTTAAAAGATGGCAAAGTTGAGATTCTAACCAAGTGAGCGTTTCCCACTACACCCCCAAAGCTCCCTCAATGAAAGCTGTGCCAGGGGTTCATCTCTGAGGCCTCTGCAGCCCTCCCAGCCCGACGCTGCTGACACACTGCGTATCTGCCCCGGCCTGTGCCCCCATCGGAGCTCTCCATCAACATGAAGCCCGGCCCCGGCCTCGTCTCATCCTGTGACCAGAATCACAGACAAACGCAACACACTCCACCAAAAACAAGTCCTACAGGTGTTTACTAGACGATGCTTTCCGAGTATCTCGTAACGACAGCACTGAATAGTACTCGCCTCTCTGGGGGTTTTGCCTTCTGCTGGAGGGTCATTCGCTCCTTAGCACCCGCATCACGGAACTACCATCCTATCGCTACTCATAAAGCGTTTCCCAAACCACTTGGCTGGAATTCTGATAGCATGTTCATCTCTAAGTATTAGTTTGGAAGTAAGGGCTGAACCAAAACTCCAAGGTTCCACCCCTGACACAAGGTGACCGGCCAGGAATCAACGCCCGGAGGCCAGGCTACGGATCTCTCCCCCGCGGGACAGCCACGCCGCCGGCTGCCGAAGCACCTGTCACTGCTGGGGCGTCAGCAACTGGGCGGAGTGGACGCTTCTGGTACGCAACGCGGAGGCGTTGGGCTGAAAGGTTGGGCAGAGGGTGGGCTGAGAAGCCACTTACTTTTTATAAAGGAACATGCATAAATATGTGCAGATTTTCCAGCTAAATCAAGAAAAATGCAGGTTAGCCTAACATGCATTCTGGTTTGAAACCTGGCATGTGGGTGCTGGGGAGATGAAAGGCAATTTCCTGTTGACTGGTGTGTGTGTTTTGAGGTGGAGGGTGGAACAGAAAGGAAATGGGATAAGAAAGCTGAATCATCCCCGTAATTTTCTAGGAGACTCAGCCTTAACCATTTCCAAAATGCAAGAAGAAAAGTTTCATTAAAATCCAAGTATACACCTTCTCTGGGAGGTGTTTGGTGGTAAGGCAATCAAGTATGAAAAACAGCAATTAAAACGGTGTCTGGAACCCCATGTTACAACCCAGACTTAGTCCATTCACGTGCTCGTAAGGGCACACACATGGCTGAACTCCTGAGCACTGCCATTTGAGCCCAGGAAATGGACCTCCCAACCCTGGAGAGGCTGTGTCTTCTGTAAAATAAGCAAGTCCTGAGGACCCTGGAAGGAAGGCAGGGGCACAGCTGAGTCCTGGGGCCTCATTCTTTGCTTTGAGTAGTGTTAGACGGGAAGCCGAGGCACATTAAAATAGTAAGAATTTGAGCAAAAATCTATTTGAATCAGCAGCACCAAACCCGAAGTAGGTAAGAGTGCTCCACCAATAGCTTGGGGAGAGACTTTTGTAGAGAAAAGCCAAAAGCCAAGCAAGGAAATGACTGGCTGTCACGTAAGGCCTGATTGGCCGTTGGTGACTGGTTGTCCTTGGGTTTTCATTTCCTCACCTTGCGGGGTTTACAGGCCTTCACTTGGGTTTGCTCATGTAGCTACCGCAGCACCAGAGCCACCCGTACTGATCTCGTTTAACTGATTCAACGGTCGTTACCGTGAGGATTTTCCACTTGGGTTACTCCGATGCTTGCTGTCGCGCCTCCGGTGAAACTCTAGCCAGGATGGGTGGTGTCCGATCTGCCTCCGCTCCTCACGAGGTAAAGTCCACTGGCCGAGAACACACATCGGCCTGAGGTCCTCAGGCTTACATGCTCACCTGTTCTCACAGCACATTATGAACTCCCTCGGAAAAACAGTAATATTCTAGAAAACTAGTTTATTTCTCCCCCCGGAGTGTCTCATCTGTGAAGGATCCCTTTGCTGAACACCACGTCAAAGGTAAGACGAAGACAGGATTGTGCGTTGGGGTTGGTTTCCTATGTTTTGAATGACCCACAGGCTTCTCCCCCAGCCCAGCTGCTCACCACAAGGCCATTGCGCATGCCCGGCCGTGGGTTCTCCTTCCAGTAAGAAACAGTCTGCCTGCTGACCTGACAGTGGGAAATGAAGCATGCTGGATCCCTTCCCCAGGACTCAGAGCTGTGCCCCTGCCTTTCCTTCCAGGGTCCTCAGGACTTGCTTATTTTACAGAAGACACAGCCTCTCCCAGGGTTGGGAGGTCCATTTCCTGGGCTCAAATAGCAGTGCTCATTTGTGAGGAGGCAGCAATTATGACACTTGCACTCCTGGAAGCTTTTCAGCATGTTCTCCTGCAGAACCACAAGGCCACCATCACACCCAAGAGGCGCAACTTTGCTCACAGTCCACATCCTAACTCCTCCAACTGACCTCCCAAAGCTCTTCGCTTTTCCCGGTCCAGGGTCCACTCAAGGAACAGTCATTGCATTTCGCTGTCATGTCTATTTGGCCCAGGGGTGGGGGACATCAGGTCCTGCCAAGGCATTAGGGGTGAGTTTGACCAAAGACAGCAGGCTAATTTTTAAGCTGATATTTTTGTGCCTGCAAATGATAATATAAATATCCAAACGGCTACGGCAGTTTTACAAAGGTTCCTCAACCCTGATTAGCCCATTAGAACATTCTCATTTTAGCGAGGGCTTTGTAAATGGAATTCCTAACCCAAGGCAACCCGTCCCCCTTTTTAAAATTTTTGTTTCTCTAAAGTCAAAAGCTCACCCAGAGGACCAGAGGGCGGTGCACAGCTTCCCCTGGGATCTGGTGTGCAGCCCTGGGGGGAGGACGCCCAGGACAGTGCTCAGAGCCGCCACCCACAATCAGTAAGGTCGAGCTTTGCAGTTAACTCCTTTGAAATTCCTGCCTGGAATAAACTGAGTGGTCATCAGTGCCAAACTGTCGACGAGATTTCTCTGCAGTGGCTTTGAATCCCTCAAATCACAGCCTATCGTTAGCTTCTCTTCCTTCTCCCATGATTCTGCCTGGATCATGATTGTAGAAAAAAACAGGGACCAGGCAGCCTTTACACGTGACCAGGACATGCTTCAGGAGATGTCAAGCCCTGTGAGCGGCCAGCGGAAGCCAGGAAGCAGCCTGCAGGACAGTCCCAAAGATGTACAAAGTCCTGCTTGCGTTTGGAGGTTGAAATTCGTCTATAAACAACTTTAGAAACAAGAGGAAATCATCTATTTTTAAAGAGTTGGGCTAAAAGACAATTACAGTACAAGTGGTTTTATACCGCAGTGAAAAGTGAAGTTTGAAAGTTTAGGTCTGTTTCTTGTCAACTCAATCAACTCCGTCTTGGGTTTGTCCCAGGGACCTGCGCCATGCTGAGGGCAGGGAAGGCGCCACCCTACACCCAGGCCCTGGATGGAGGTTGGGGATGGATGATTGTGCTTCACTTCTTCCTGGTAAGGATTTCCTTTCCCTCCTCCCGCCTGCAAGGCGGCCTCTGGAGACCGAGGTCCCTTATGAAAGCCTTGGCATTTGAATGGAAAGGGGGCAGAGCCAGGCCAGAAACTGCCAGTGGTTGCTCAAGTCAGCCGTCCACAATGGGCCCAGGTTGAAACCGTTCACCTGAGCAAAAGCAAAAGCATTCCCATCCGGTCTCATCCTCCTCCTCCCTCCCTTCCCCGCACCACAGAACGCTCCAGTCACCATCAACAGTTCTGCCCTGGCTACACGAGGTAGCTCTGGGGACAAGCACACATGGAACCACCCGGAAGCAGCACTGGCAGGGGCTGAAGCGTTTTTGCGTGGGGCCCGCACTCAGCCCAGCGTCGACGAACTGCTGGCAGCGGCCTCCTTCACTCACAGGGGACGGGGGCACTTCCTCGTCCTGCCTGCTGCTGGCTTCCAGCCCTCCCCACCTGCCACACGTGAGCCAGAATCGGCCCCCGTGTACTGCTGGTGTCTGGAGAGGGAAGGACACAAGATTCTGAACCGGGAGCCTGTTTTTTCTCCTTCATCCGTAAGCCAACTGGACTGGGCACTTGTTAATGATTTTCTCTCTCCCTCTTCCTGATCTGAATGTCCGCATGGTCATTCTAGAATGTCGGTGAATCCTATCACAGCTAAGCCCCAAGCAACCCTACAGATGGGCACTAGCTCCACAGCTCCTCGTGTCCCCAAATCGGTTTACTCACAGACACCCCTTCCCTCCCAACCCTTCCTCCTCCCACAGCCCTACAGTTCATGCCTCCTCCCTGGTGACAGAGAAGGGAAAGCAGGAGCAGAGGTCTCAGCCAGGACTTGTGTAATACAGTCCCTAACCAGACGGCCATTTGTGACACATCAGCCTCATTACCAAAGAACGTGAAATCTCAATGTTACTAGAAACTATGCTAAGGTCTGAGAGCCCTTCCCCTGGCTGGGCCACCTCCCCATATACAGGCTTGGCAGGATGGCACTGTTGGTGAGGGTCTGTCTGGTTCTCGCCCATTTCTCCCCAGTAACCACCCTGCTTTGCCTACATTACGCTCAGGATAGGAAGCTATTTAACCAATGTAGTTGCTGATAAGAAAATTGCCTCCTAACCAGATTAATAAACACTGTCCTGCTTTGGGGGGCAGGGGCAGGTGGGTGTGATGCTGCTTATAAAAGCACTAGAGGCTGGGCACACGAAATTCATGCGCAGGTACAGTCCCTAGGCCTGGCCTGAGGTCAGGGCCATCTTCCCCGGCTGCCTGCAGCCGGCCCCGGCCCCAACCCAGATTCCCAGTTCGCCACTGAGCGATGGGAGCCTGCCGGCTGGGGAGAGGGACCAAGAGGTGGTCAGTGCGCCTCTCAGTGACTGGTCGAGTGGTCGTTCTGGTTCTTCTGCTGTTAGGGTCAATTTGCATATTACCTTTCATTCTATAGGATAAGATATACTAGGTCCCAAAATGTTAACAAGGAACATTAACAAGCTAATCGCCTGCAGTCGGAGGCCAGTTAGACGCCTGCTTTGGTGACTGCGTGCATCACAAGTACTTTTCTACAACAGATGAGCTCCTGAGGTGAGGGAAAACGCCACCCACGACATGTTCTCTGGGAGCTCCTGACTTTTAAAAAAGGACTCATTCTAAGCTGCCACACTTCACATATTGGCATGACTGCCAATATTCAGTCTGCCACACTGGGCTGGATGTTTGCTCACTACTGTAAGCCCAGACCCTATAACGAGCCTGGGACATAGTAGGCACGTAATAAATACCTGTTGGTGAGTGGATGGACTGACAGGTGGGCAGACTTCTGACCAAACAAGAAGGTAGTAAATGCTGAAGTTGTAGAGATGGGCAGGGGACTTGTATGACACGTTAAGAATCTTGGTTTTTATCTTGAGGCTCCAAGAGCTAGTTAAAAAAAAGAAAGAAATGAAGCAGGAGTGATGGGATCAGATCTGCATGCCTGGAAAATAGCTCGGGCTGTAGGGTGGAGGGATTGCTGGGGGCTAGGCCTGGAGGCAGGGGCATCCATTGGAGGATGTTGCAATGATCCAGGTGAAAACACAGTAAGGCCCTACGTTCTGGAGCAGCCATGGGGATGGAGAGAATCCAGATCTGAGCTATACTGAGGAGGTAGACGTGTAAGACTTGCAGAATAACTGCAGTTCCGGGAGAGTCGGAATCATTCGGTGAGCTGGGAGGCGAGGGAAGGGAGGGAATCTGTGGAAGCTGTGGATGGATTGACTTTGGACAGTCTGAGGGGCGTGCGGCAGTCCATGTGCATGTGGAGCACGGGGTCTGCACCCTGAAATTTGTGAGTCACCAGCATCAGTGGTGGCTGGAACAATGAGACGGGTGGGTCCAAATGCCAGGGAGAGGGCGGAGCAACCAAGAGCAATTAGTCCTGCGGGAATCGAGACCTAGGGAACTGGTGGAGTTGCCCACAGAGGAAACAGAAGCAGTCAGAAGTCAGTGGTCCAGGCATGCAGCGCCCCCTAAGCGAAGGCAGAAATGTCCAGAGCAGTAGAAGCTGCTGAGGAGTCAGATGGCGTAGAGATGAAGAAGGGCTGTTAGTGTAGCCACAGGAAGTCTCCGATCACCTCGATAAGAGCCGGCACAGGGGCCAGGACAGAGGAAGTGCAGAAAACCCAACAGACTATTCTTTGTGAAGGTCAGGAAGAGCAAGGGGATGCTAGAGGGGAATCTAGGGTAGAGGAAACTTGCTATTAAACAGTAATTTCTAACAAAGCCTGATGATCTTTACTCAAAAGGGGCCCCTGTGGCTGACCCAGCCCCAAGACAGTATTCTAATTAAAATGATCTGGATGAGGAAGTTCTTAAGGGGGGGGGGGGATGTGCCCTTAAAGATAAAAAGGAAATAACGGTGCTGGATCAGCCACAGGAAAATTTCAAAGGCTTTTGTTTTGGGGTGAGCCCATTGACAACGTCTGACTGGACTCAGACAGGACTAAAACCCAGCCACCTTGGTCCAAAGCATGGGATGAAATCCAGATTTGTCTAATCCGCTTAACAAAGCAGAAATCCAGGCTTGAGGAAAAGACTTTTAATATCTGAGTCCAAAGAAAAAGAGGTTGCTCTCCCTCCAGGGAGCACACCCTTACCATTCCCTTCCTCTTTTCTTTTTTTAAAAAATATTTTTATTGATTTTTTACAGAGAGGAAGGGAGAGGGATCAAGAGTCAGAAACATCCATGAGAGAGAAACATTGATCAGCTGCCTCCTGCATACCTCCTACCGGGGATGTGCCCGCAACCAAGGTACATGCCCTTGACCGGAATCGAACATGGGACCCTTCAGTCTGCAGGCCAATGCTCTATCCACTGAGCCAAACTGGCTAGGGCCCATTCCCTTCCTCTTCTTCCCCGACAGGCATGCACCTCCTAAACTCTAAAGGACCCAATGGGACTTGCCCAGTGAGCCATGGGCAGCGGCAGCTCGTCCTGGACAAACCCTCTGAACTTGTCCACAAGGCCCCCTTTTCTCTGACTCCATAGTGAGCCAAAGCTTCCTAGCTAGGCCCATTTCCCCGCCTAACCTCTCCTCTGTGTCTTCTTCTATCCTAGGCCTGTCCTTGTCTCACTGTTCCCAGCTTTAATAGACATTCTCTCGATGAGGGGGGAGGGGTTGGGGGAGAGAACAGAAACAAGTTGGAAGGTTACAAGATAAGGAAGGGAGGCAGGGTAGACGCAAAGACTGACCTTGGCTTTGTTGATATCCACAGGGAAAGACGCAGACTCAGTGATTACATACAAGTCATAGCCACTTGCTTTGCCCAGACGTCAAAGACGGACCAGAGCGGCCAGGTTCCGAACTGGGAGACCAGTAGCTAGCCAGACTGAGGATGCAGAGGCCAGCACCCTTTAGATGCCAGCACAGAACCCGTGGTTAAAGAGGAAGGAAGGATGTTTTCCAGAATGATGCCTCCCTGTGTCCTTGCTCATGACGGCGCCATCACCACTCTGTATATTGAACCAACAGAAACAAGTCTGGGTCGTCCGAGGTTCTTGCATGTTCTGTAGCCCCACTTCCTGATAGAAATCCCCCTGGCTACATGCTGATGACAGACTGTCCTAATGAGGGCCCGATAAAAGTTTTCACTTTTAAATATTGAGCCCTGGCGTCCACAGCATTGTTCACTGTAAATAATGAAAAAGCAGTAGCTTCTATCAAGTTAAAATGGGAAAAATCTATTAAGGGACCTCCTTCCCAACCCCAACTTTTGCAACCTCAGAGCTCCACCTCTGGTTCTTAGTCCCTGTCTCCAGACAGGAGAGAATACTATTTCTGAAATAGGAGTCTAACTGGGGATGGAGAAGGTCTTGATTCTCTAGCAGACAGGGGTTAAGGGAACGAAGAGGCAGGCTGACTCGCTGAGTGGGTAGATGGCAGCAATGAAAGGGAAATGAGAAGGAAAAGTGGGCATGGGACAAGAGAAGACTTTCGTTTTGGATGAGCTGACATGAGTTAGTATCGTAGACAGTTATATGAACGAGTTTGAAACGCTTGAAAAATATTAATGGTTAAAGATAATAAAATCATAGTTAATAATTTGAGTATTAAGTGCTACTTAATGGTCCCTGAATTGATGGCTTGACTTAATGATTGTTCAACTTTTCGATGGTGCAAAAGTGATAAATTCCATGAGATATTCAATGCTTTATTGTAAAATCGTCTGTTGGATGATTCTGCCCAACTGTAGGCTATCATAAGTGTTCTGAGCATCTCTGACGTAGGCTATGCAATAATGTTCAGTAGGTTAGGTGTATTAAATGCATTTACAACCAAGAATATTTTCAACTATTGATGGGTTTATCGGGGTGTAACCCCAGCATAAGTTGAGAAACATCTGTATTAAGTACTTTACCAGAACTTTCTCAATCTTCACAGTCCTGTGAGCTAGCTAACATTGACTTCATCTCCACTATACAAAAGAGGAACCTTAACTTCTGTAAAATATAAAATGTATGAAGCTTACCCCCCCCCCAGCTGGATTCTTATTTCAGAAATATTTTGCCCAAGGTCACACCCCCAGTAGGAAGCTGAGCTAGGACTCAGGCCAAGGAGGCTGACTGTGCAGACCAGTACTTAACTACTACACCAGCGGTTCTCAAGCTGTGGGTCGAGAACAATGAAAATACATCCTGCATATCAGATATTTACATTACGATTCATAACAGTAGCAAAATTACAGTTATGAAGTAGCAACTAAAATCATTTTACGGTTGAGGGTCATGAGGAACTGTATGAAAGCGTCGCGGCATTAGGAAGGTTGAAAACCACTGGTCTAGGGGCATATATACTAGCACTCCACAGAAAGAAACCTGACCTCCAAGGAGAGCGCCTCCTAGCGGGCATGTGACCCAACCAGGTGACCTGGTTTACTCTTGTACTGGCACAATTAACAGTGCTCCCTTTTGCTCTCAAAAGTGTCTCAATTTGCCGAAACCGGTTTGGCTCAGTGGATAGAGCGTCGGCCTGCCGACTAAAAGGTCCCACGTTCGATTCCGGTCAAGGGCATGTACCTGGGTTGTGGGCACATCTCCAGTGGGAGATGTGCAGGAGGCAGCTGGTTGATGTTTCTCTTTCATCGATGTTTCTGACTCTCTCTCTCCCTTCCTCTCTGTAAAAAATCAATAAAATATATTTTAAAAAAGTGTCTCAATTTGGATAAATTACTGTATGGTCACTCTTCTTATATATCAGGTGATGAATGGTACTTAGCTCAAGAGCAGAGTTAAAGCAAAGCTAGCCCAGGAACTGATAGGAGCAATTCATCTTTTGGACCAACACAGCATTTCTCACAAAGGTAACTGCACTCGGCTGCGCTTAACAGATGCTAATGTCATAGAACAGTAGAGTAGGGGTTGATCTGGGTTCAATCTCAACCCCAGCACGCCCCTCTTCAGCAATTTCCTTAAACCTCAATTTCCTGGTCACTAGTACCAGTGACACACCTACTCCACAGCCTTGTGGTGATTCAAGGGGATACTCATGTCAAGTGCTCAGAGAAGCCCTTAGGGGACGACCACCCCATGAAATAGAAAATGTATGAACGGTAAGTGCTGGCGAGCTGGGGAATCGGAACCCCGAGCAGCTGTAACCCCTCCGTTGCACCCTGACTTGGACTCTGTCTGCTTTCATTTAGGTCAACATGTTTGTTTTGGGGATGACCAAGACTTTCGCAATTTTCTTTGTGGTTTTTCAAGAAGAATTTGAAGGCACCTCAGAGCAAACTAGTTGGATCGGCTCCATCATGTCATCACTCAGCTTTTCTGCAGGTACGAGGCCCAGGGATAAGGTCGCTGTCCAAGGAGAAGGCCCAGAGGGCGATTCTAGGAACAAGCATGAGGCGCTGCTACACTCGGGTCATTATCAATACGACAGCGAGAAAGGAACAAACCCGCAGTGTTTAGCCTCCACCTGACTTGGTGAAATTGGAAAAATTACAGAGTTCAAACAAAGAAATAGGAACAAGCATGAGGCGCTGCTACACTCGGGGTCATTATCAATACGGACAGCAAGAACAAACCCGCAGTGTTTAGCCTCCACCTGACTTGGTGAAATTGGAAAAATTACAGAGTTCAAACAAAGAAAGTGGGAGTCCAGAGTCCAACTGCTTAACTGCAAGATTTCTCATGCTGTGTTTCTTTCCACAGTGCCTTTCCCTAGGTTCAGTGAGCCACCCTGTCAGCTGGGAAGTCAGACCTCGGAGTTCTGACCTGATCACCTAACCTTTTGCAAAACAATTGGGAACCAATTCCTTTTCCTGCAGTTCTACTTGGAGCCTAGCGTGGTGCAGAGGTTAGGGAGCAAACTTGTTCTAGTCATAGGCCACAGACGCACTCTCACTGTGTGGAGGTTTTGCAATGCATTTTCAGTAAGCTTCACCTCCAAACCTGCTTATTTATAATTTTTTCTTAAAAAACGAAGCGAACAGTGTGGGACTGGGACTGGTAAAGCCCAACGCAGACACCTCTGTGAAGGACACACAAGACTCCGAAGTGTTTTCCTAAAACTGCTCATTTCAACCGACGCCAGGCACTCATTTAGTACCAGCTTTTCTTTCTCCCCAAGGCCCCCTGGTTGCCATTATCTGTGACGTATTTGGCGAGAAGACTGCCTCCCTGCTCGGGGCCTTCCTCGTTTCTGGTGGATACGTGATCAGCAGCTGGGCCACGAGCATCCCCTTTCTTTGTGTGACTATGGGAGTTTTACCTGGTGAGTCCACTGTAAAAAGGTAGAAAAAAGGGAACTAGGACCCTCCCTCTTACTGGCCACGTGTCCAAAAGGCCTAGTTTCATGATCTCGGTCCAGAATATCCATCTGGTACAAGGCACCTCATGTAAGTGATTCCAAACTATTATGGTTTTCTTTTTAGGTTTGGGTTCCGCTTTCCTGTACCAAGGAGCAATGGTGGTAATGAGCAAATACTTCAAAAAACGATTAGGGCTTTCTACAGCTATTGCCCGTTCGGGGATGGGACTGACATTTCTCTTGGCACCTTTTGCAAAAGTCCTCATAGATCTGTATGACTGGACAGGTGAGTCATTCTAAGTGTCTGACCTATCAACTCTGCAAGATTTCAAGTTCAGTTTTTCCTCTTGATGACTGGAGGTGAAGATGTTTGGAGCCAGAGTAGAAATGATTTCTAAAGAATCATGCCCCTCCTCCTTGGGGAATACACAGCAGCGAGATCTTGAACGACTTGCAGGCTCTGCCAGCCCCACCAGCAGCTCTGAGTTCAGCCCAGGGTCCTGTCTGGGGCACAGAGCTCCTCTGTGAGCTGTGAAACACCCTGCAGGGACAGCGATATCCCTGGAGAGATAAGGGCACATTCTCCTTCCACCACCAAAGAATTCTTTCCAAATTCTCCCTTTAAGAAAAAAATCTGCATAAAACATGCCTCCTCCATTGGACTCACTAAACCAGAACCAAAAAAAAGGGGGGGTAAAAAGATTATTGTTTCTTAATACGTAATCTTTTACACAAATGAATGAGAATCATTCACTTCACAATTTTCTTTGTGCCTTACAGAAAATATCTGTATTAAATCACCTTACATTACGGGAAACATGATATGCACATATGTATGTGTGTCTACTTCTAGAGAAACAGACATAAATTCACAGAGCAGTTGTGCAGGAATCTCATGAACAGGCCCAGCTGACGAACCCGCGACAGGATGGCGGGACCTGTGGCCAGCCCTGTCTCTAGGAGCAACACACACACCTCAGCTTCAGTCAGGCCACGCGGAAATCAAGACCTACCTACTCGGCTTCAGAGGCGAAACTGGCACCTGCCTTCTTTCAAAATTTATACCCACTTCAGAGCATCTCAAGTCCCTCTTCAAAACACCATGTAATTTTCTAACATCTGAAATAGCTCCCCCGGCTCCTCCAAGAAAACCCCTGTTCTCTTTTCCTTTAGCACAAATAACTCCTTCCATGCCAGCTTTCTGGTATCCTATCTGCAAAAGGCCACCGTTTCCCAAGGATACAGCAGTGTGTATGGTAACAAGTCATCAGATTTCATTACTTCCAGTTAAAATCGAGAGACAAAGTACCTCTAGGAATTATCTCGCTATGACTATTTAGCAACACTATGAATATTCTGAGCCTGAGAACAGGGCATTAGGAAATGAGAGGGGGAATTTT